AGGGAGCAGACGGAAATGAATAAAAACCTTTGTAGCATTTAGACTGTGCCAACAAAAAAGGACCTTTTTTCCTTTCTTTTTTAATTTAGGATGATCTGATGTACCGAAAACATCTCAGTTAAACTGACAGGCTCTAACACTGACCCCTGCGGCTACTGAAGTGTTTTTCTGGATTGACGTTTGCTTGTTAGCATTATAACCTAACAGCTATAATCCGTTATCATCATCTTCAGCTATATCATATTAGAGGTTCATTATTTAGTACTTAGGTTTTCTTAATGGACTTTTCATGGGGAGGCAGCATTACCTGTCTCTGAGCCGGACATTTTTAATAACATGTAGCAGTGAATTGAGGACAGTAAAAGAGACAGATAAAGCTCCCAGCACCTCCATACAGTCTGAGTCCCTTAAATAGACTTCTATTAATTTTATCTCACAGAATTCTTGTTACGCCGCTTTTCATTGAAGAACGTGTAGTATACATTTTCCAAATACTGCACAGACAAATTAGGCATACAGTAATAGACATTCACAGTGGTGTGAATGTTTTTCTGCTAAATCCCCTCAGCACAAAAGGCCGGGCGTTTGTCCTGCGTGTGGAACAGCAGGGAATTCATTGCGTATTTTTTGAATGTTAATAAAACAGGGGGACTTGAATGTTCTCAGCAGTTGTTTTTAAGGGAATAAATAGAAAAATAAGGGGAACTTCAGCATGCATCTCCACGCTTACTGTCTTCTTCAGCCCCTATCCACACTTTGTTTCTCTAAAAGAGCACAATTATTTAATATCTAATGTGTTGAAACAGTTCTGTAAAATTTTATCACCCTTTCTCTGGGAAGTTATGACCACGAGAGCCTGCATAACATCCCGTTTGTTTCACCACTATTTCTCAGGTCAGCGTGATAATTTCCAGGACTAAGGTGATAAAGTCCTGGAAGCAGATGCAGAAGCTCATAAGTCAGAAGATCTTTTAAAGCTTTCATAGACTGTCTCCGTGGGTAATGTCTGCCCAAGGACACATGGGAAGCAACAGAGTTCATTTGGAACGGCGTTCAGTTTTTGTTGTTGCTTTGTTGTTTGTTTATTGGCAGTTGGGTGGTATAGCCATGAAACAAAGAATGAAAGTAGGGGAATAGTCATCTCTTAGCAACATGCAAAGAGGAGGAAAGGAAATTCCTAAGCTTGGCTGAAATTAGAGCGATGCCGGTAGCCAAGGTCAGTGTTGAGAGCTAGCAGTCACTTTTCTATAAGTATGTACTAAGGTGGCTGTGCTGTCTGGGCTGACTTTGCATGTCACACAGATGACTTCAGCTGTGAAGCAACTGGCAAAACCATAAGAGTTTTCCTCCAGGATTCCAAGTAATTTTTATAGATTTTGCAGTAGCAAGTCAGCATGAACAGTAATGAAGAAGGCTGTTCTTTAAGAGAGGGCTCCTGAGCTGGGAGAGGCATAAGTGGCAGTGACTGCTTACTTCAGTGTTTGTCATGGTTGGAAGATTTAAAGTTGATCCTGGTAACAGACGACGAGCTGTGGTTAATGGGCACTGCAGCAGTGTTACCCCATTCTGAAAGAGCTTTTCAGGAGCAAAGACAGCCTGTCACGTTCTGGTGATACAGCAGGATCTGTGGCCAAAATGTAAGCTTTGCCACTGCAGAATGTAGGAAGCACAGCCTGTGTCGGAGACCTGTGTGTGCTGGTAAGTAGATGCTTCACCTCACACCAATCACGGGCATACAACCTACCAACCCCCCTTTTTCTCTAACCAAACAAACCCAGTGAAGTCCTTCAGAGGCTCTGCTTGTCTGCACCTTACAGATAATGCTCCTTTGCCTTTTTGCGCCCCTGTCCTTTTCAGTATTCCAGAGGAGCGCTCACTGCAGTAACATGGGCCAGTGTCACTCTTATTACTTTACCTGTTTTATCTTTTGTGAAATTGAGCCTTTAGCCAGAATTGTCTGAGCTGCTGCTCCAGGAGTCGGTTAACTGTGAGGCTCCTTGAGCTTATTTCTCTCCAGTAATTTGATTCCCACGTGCTCACTGAGATTGCTTTTTTGCTGAAAGCGAAGTGGGGAGGGCTGTGTGTGTGTATGGGAGCGGGCCAGAAATGTTGTGGCAGACAAATGCAGCTCAGAAATAAATAAATAACAATGCAAAAACAGGCCTAAAAAGATCCCGTCTCACTTTATCTCCCTTTAGCCCGGTCCTATAAAACCAAATATTTTTCTGTTAGAGAATCAGAGAGACAGGGTTTTTTGTGCTGGTGCACGGTGTGGAACAGGAGGCCAATCTCCGTCTTGCTTCTGCATAAAGCCAAAAAGATAATCCTTTTATTTAAATTTACCAGAGATTTGTATGAAGCACTAAGTAGGTTGGTTTTTTTAGTAGTAGTTGTCATCATAAAAGGTTTCTGTAGATTTTAAGATCTTTTCTGAAATTGTACTCAAGATTGAAAGCTTTTGTTTTGATTGCTGATCTATTTTATTTTGTTTATTTTACGTTTGTGGTTACTTAAGAGGAACTGAACACCAGTCAGGTGAGCTTCTATTTAAGATTGATTAGCATGGCAGCAGTTTTCTAAATAATGCACAACTTATTGAGAGAGCAGTAATTCTATAAAGTTGTTAGCGTGCTCTTACAGTTTTGGGCAAATACCATACTGAAGGTGAATAGAAAACCAAGCCAGAAAAGCGAATCTTGCTGGAGGGAGGATTGTTCTGAAAATGAACCATTCAGAGCATAAACAATGGTTTATTAGTTGTCTGAAATCTGCTTTTCGCTCTCTACGTGGTCTTCATTTTATGTCCAGGCAAGCCTACCAAACTCTTGGTGCAGAATTTCTGTATTATAAAGTCATGGTTTCTTAGATAAGATGTTAGTAATTCAAATGGACTGTCTGCTTAGAGGTCTGTTACTTTACATGACCTAAATACGTTGTTCTGGTGGCCAACAGGCTGGCCATGAGCCAGCAGTGTGCCCTTGTGGCCAAGAAGGCCAATGTTACCCTGTGGTGCATTGCAAAGGGCGATGCCAGCAGATCAAGGGAGGTGATCCTCCCCCTCTGCTCTGCCCTGGCGAGGCCACACCTGGAGCACTACGTGGGCTCCCCTGTCAAAACAGACAGGGATCTCCTAGAAGGAGCGCAGCAGAGGGCCACAAAGATATAAAGGGCCCGGAGCATCTCCTTTGTGAGGAAGGGCTGAGAGACCTGGGGCTGTGCAGCCTGGGGAAATGAAGACTTAGAGGAGATCTGATGAATGTTTAGCAATATCTAAAGGCAGATGGGAGAGCCAAGCTCTTCTCAGTGGTGTGTAGCAAATAGGACAAGGAGTAATGACTTAAAACTTGAACATAAGAAGTTCCATACAAGCATGCAGAACTTCTTTACGGTAAGGGTGGCAGAGCACTGGAGCAGGCTGCCCAGAGAGGTGGTGGAGTCTCCTTCTGTGGAGATACTCAAGGCCCATCTGGACGCCTGCCTGGGTGACCTGTTGTAGGGAACTGCCTTAGCAGGATGTCTGGACTCAGTGATCTCTTGAGGTCCCTTCCAACTCCTGCAATTCTGTGACTGCAATACTGTGAAATAAAACCGCTGAAGCATTCATTAGTTTGTGTCTTTGGTCACATGCCTTGATGATAGCAGCGTTGTTACTAAATGTCATGGGAGTATGTGTTCTCAGCAATGGTAGATGTATCCACAGCAGTAGTTGTAGGATCTTGGCTAATTTTTCATCTTGGACCTGGAAAAAAAGGAACACACCTATGTTTTATGAAGAAACATGCAGAAAGGAAATGAACCCAAACAGTGACCATACTACCCAGCTTGTTGGATGGCTGTCACTTGTCTCTTGAAAATAACGCCAACGGAAAAAAGCACTTACAAATCCAGTTCGGTTATGGAGAGAAACGCTGGGGGCATGACTCAAGGAGGGCAGAGAGATTTTGTTTGTTTTTCAGTCTAGCACTGCATAAGTTCTGAAAAGAGTTAAAAACATAGGTTTTGGTGGCTAGCAATCCATGTCAAAAAGCTGGGTGCATCTACTGCTTTTTGCAGTGTCTGTACTTCAGTTTACGGCACGAGGGTGTGATGTATGATGTAAAAAATGCTGTATGCATGCATCTGTGTGCCAGATTTCATGCCTGTTTCTGTCGAGCCCCTTTGCTTGCTTGTACGCAGCGCCTGCAGCTCCACCTCTTCAAAGGCTGTTCTATTAATCTAACCTACTGAGGGCTATTCATACAGCTTATGGGTTTTTATATTTAAATCCTCACAGAAATGATTTGCTGCCCTCAAGTTAGGATTTTAAAGGAAAATTAAATTAAGGCTGCCTAAGTAATGAAAGCATCTTTAGATATGATAGATAGAGACCATCAAAGCAAAAAGTCTGCATCCCTGGAAAGATTTCTGATATTGTTTAGTGTTAGGGGGAGTTGCTATTGCTAGTATATCATGCAATATCAGGCCTTAAATTTGTATGCTTACGCTTCATGAATTCTTTAATTTCCAAAGTTGTTTGTTATGTTTTAGGTTATAAATTAAGAGATTTATATGTCAAGCATTTTTATCCTTATGAAACCTATGGCACTGGGATCATAGTGTTGTATGGCTTTGCTGACAGATGGATTAAAGAAAGAACTTGTGCCATGAGATGTAAGCCTAGCATTTGTTACTGTGATGTATGTTATATTGTCGCCTGCCTAGTATGACACATGTATAACTCTCTGTTGTTCCTAGAGCTGCTGAGTTTTCCTAACCAGAGCTAAAAACAAACAGTCAAATCAAAAACACTAATAGAAAATCACTGCCCCTGTTTTCAATTTGTTTACCTAGGAAAAGAATGAATATTGTCACCTAAAACCTTTAAAAACAATCTTTAAAATGGAGCGGTGACCAAAAGGAATCCCAGACCTAGACCGAAGAAGGTGGGAACAGAATCCATTTTCTTATAGGTGGAGAAAAATGTCTACCTTCAATTTATTTCTCATTTCTTCTGTCTTCAGGTTTTCCAAATGAGCCTGCTGCTGTCATTGCCCTTAACACTACTAAGGAATGGTTAAGCAAGAATCGCAATGAGGTATGGAATAAAATGTAAATTTCCCAATTCATTTATTTTTTTTAAAGATTATGGACTTTGATGCTGAAACTGTGGAAAGAGTAAACATCAGCTGAATGTTTAGTCTGAAACAAATGAAATCAGGCTGGGACAATATGGCAGGGCAAAGACTGTTATATTTAACATCTACACTGGAGTTGAAGGGAAATACCTTTGTTTGAAACCACACTCTGCGTTTCCTGTGCATTGTATTCTTTCCTGGCAAAGTAAAAGTCTATTCTCTTTCTGAGCTGGTTCTGAGCGTCACAGTTTTCATCTAATAATGAGGAGAGTCTTGGAAAGGAAATGTATGTAATAGTTGTCAGTGGAAACAGTCACCAAAGGTCACTGGTGCTCAGGGGCCACTTTACAGTAAAGAACCTATGATGGTATTTTCTATTTTTATTAATTTTTGGTTTGCTTATGGTTAACTGTTCATTTTCCCTAGAACTCTCAGTAAACATGTGATTCAACAGTGATTTTCTAACAGCACCAGCCTTCTTCCAATGACAACGTGATGGTTATTATTTTTATAAGACAAAATGCTTTCAACAGCATGATCTCCAGATCTTCCTTTTCTCGTTTCTGTCTTTCTCTGGTTTTTGTTCTTAGCAGTCTGATAGTTCCTAATACTGAATTGGAGAAATGCGACAAAGAAGCAAAGAAATGACAGACCAAATGAAATAAACATGATGTCTTGAACTGAAGAAATGCCTGCTTCCTGTTAATGATAGCAAGCAGATCTCAGACAGCTCAAGTTGTTCAGTATTTTTGTCTGAAAATATTTAACAAAGGAGAAGAAATAGATACAGGGGTGTAATCAGTAGTACCCTTATCTGTGTATTTTGCAGAGTATTTTACTGCTATGAGATTCTGATGATTGACAGGGGGAATTTAGCTTTATGGTTTGATGGTTTTTGGGTGTTGTTTTTTTTTATTTATCATTATTATTATTTTACATAACTGAAAGGAAATACTGTATTGAGATTTGAATGGTAAACTGAGATTTTTCAAACCTGAATGCCAAAAGGTACAACAAGGGATGCTCGGTCAGTGTATCTTTGTGCTTCCCACTGAACACTTGGTATTTTCCATGACTTAAATATTTGAGCAGTGGAGCAGATCTGGACTGAAACTATTCTCTTTATTCCAGAACTAAGTTCTTCTATTTCAAAAACTGAATATGTGTAATATAAACACATATTCTCTTAATTACTTTTTTTCTTAATGTTATTAGAAGCAACTTGGCTTCGTTTGGTAGAGTGCCTATCACACGTATAGAAGCTTTCTTGATGAAAGCTCTTTTCTAGAGTATTCTGCCCTATGATTCAGCCATTGCTTCTCAGCTGTATGATGACTTTACCTTTTAGTGTAGACTTTGAGTCTTCCCTTTTTTTATTTCTGCCTTGACTCGGCCTGGAAACCCATATATGCACTACATGTTCCCCCTTTCTTTTCATTGGTGTGCTGCTTCCACAGTTTTCTGGTTCCCTTCATAGACTTCAGCTGAGCTCCTCCCTTGGTTTTCAGGCAGCTTCATCTCTGTCTTGGAAACAGACTTAAGGCTCATAGCCCAGAGCGATTGAAATGATGATGATTGTTGTATATATATTTTTGACTCCGATTGAGCTGTAAGCACTTCTTGCAAGTAAAACATAAAATTCCATTGCATCTGTGGCCTGCACAGATTAATGTAAACCATGAGCTCTGCATAAGCACGATTTCTCCTTTCTCACTGTATTATGTTCCCTTCTGTTTCCTTAGTTTTCTTGGCTGTCTACCTTCAAACATCCTTACTTACTCCCCACAAACTCAAATTTCATCTGAGTTCTTTTTAAAGAAATACCTAGAGCTTATGGTGTTGTACAGTGGAAAGAGCTGTTGTTTTACATTTCATAGGTCTATCAGCAGCAAAATTAAAATACTTAGCAGAGGACAGCTGTATCTCATGCAGTGAAGGCGATCTTTGGGGAGCACGCAGTTGTTGGGTCACTGTTTAATGTTTGTAACAAGGCGGGTATAATTTGTCTGGACTAAATGAATTGACATAGCACAACACTAAGTGTGAATCAGATCCAATGCTTTGGATTTGCTTTGGGGCACTGGGTATTATTCGTCACCCAAATGTTCCACCCAAGTAGCTCATTGTACATCACTGACGGGGACTACTTACGTCTCAACAACAGAGCCTACTGTTACTGCAGGTACCGTAGAGATGTCCCTATAAGTTTTTGTCACAGAGATAGAGCAGCTCCCTCTATTCCCTCTGGAGCTGGGAGCAAAACCTTTAACAATTTGCCATGAGGACATCTTTTCAGAAGGCTGCCCGTATTTCGCTGCTGTAATCTCTGGCCAGAACTGCTCCCCTGGCAGTGGCTGTGCTGTCAGAACAGGTCAGTCTGTCCTGCTAACAGCCTTGCCTGAGCAAGAGTCCTTCTGCATTTGGCTGTGCTGGACTTCAGTGAATCAGCTTCTTCCTTTCATTCCTTCCTGAGGAATCTTTAAGTGAAAAATCTTGTCCATGTTCTTCTCCTTCAGCCCCAAAGATGTTTGGCTGCCGCTTTTTGTCTTGCTAACGTCTCGTACTGCTTGTCCTAACCAAAACCTCCACCTGTGCATGTAGAATGTAAATTGGATAGATTCATGAAGTTATAGTGCAAGGCAGAGACCAAAATGAGAGTGTACTCACTAGGAAATGTGCCTACCCCACAACACGCCTGACAACATCACGTAGGTAGAGCAGATGGAAACCTGACAAAATGCTGCAGTCTTTTGTTGCACTGTATGGCTGCAGTGTCTTATCTGCCTTCCTGCATCCCAGGAAACCGTGGCAAATCTGTGAAATATGAGGCAATATTGTTGCTTTCTCCTCTTTACCTTCATGTAGGACTTTCTCTGCTTTGATGCTGTAATGAGGATTTCACCCAATCTGATATTAATTCAAAATATAAATAGATCAGTGGCTATGTTCCTCAGTCTGCCTGGGGCCCTGAAAATCTAACCTAAATGACTCCATTCTTGCGAGCTGTGTTAGAGTCCTAAAGTTCTCTGCCATAGTATTTACAAGAAAAGTGATTTGCATTTAATGAAAGGTTTTCTCTTCCAAGTCCATTGTTGTGCTTGACCCCTCAGGTGCTTGCATAAAAACTTATTAGCATGCTTAACTTCGAAGTGGCTCAGATGAATTCCTCATTACCATGCAAATGAAGTTAGCTCCTGTCTGAGGTTAATTGGTACAAAGCTAGGGAGAGAGGGATCCATTGTAATGGACTGAACGCCAACCAGCAGCCGGGCAGGGCAGCAGCCATAGCAGCCAGACGGCCTCAAACTTAACTACACCAAGTCCGCTAGGGAAAACAACAGGATTGGAAGCAATGGTTGGTTCTTAGTTGCTTGTAACACGCAGCACTGCTCTGGTCTTCAAATGCAACTCTAAGTCAAACTAATTTCTGGCCGTGTTTTACACCAAGGTCTGCTGACTTGCAGCCAGAGGGCAAATCTAGTTTAGAACTGGTAAATGGTGTTGTACTGTAAGCATAGAAATCCCTTGGAGCAGGCTCAAAGAATGGCAACAGTCAGCAGTACTGGGTTAATTTACTGCGGACCACCTCGGCTATCTCCTTAGCAAACTGCATTTTCACATTTCACAAAGTGCTCTACAGGTTTAATAGAATTCTTCAGAGCACAAAATAGAATTGATTCCTATCCTTTAGGAAATTATACACTGGGATTCATTTAAAAAATGCACATTAAGCGCTTTGAACAATTTTGTGCATTTCTTTTTGGGATGATTTAGCAAGGATGGAGGTAACTGCCACTTGACTTCCCCCAGTGCATCACAGAGGAAATGTGACACCTTTAAATACTTGGACCCCTGCATTTTTTGGAGTGGTGGTGGGGTTGTGCTTGTGTTTTTCATGGCAGATATCTTTGAATATTTGCAATGTAAGGTACTGTTATTTTCCAGTGCTTTAGGATCACGCTGTGTGTCTCAAAAGGGTGAAAAATAAAAAATGCTCAGAGTGTGCCTTACCTTGTGTCACTGACATGAAAAGCCTCAGGACCTTTTCAGCGCTCAAGAAAAGACTTTAATTTAACAGCACATTTAGCTCGAAGTATTGTTCTTTCTCTTGCACAATATCTCACAACATTTATTATGCGCCTCAGTAGAACAACAACCCGGAAAGTGTGATTGCAATATGTGTTCCATTGAAATAACTGATGCAGATTAAAAGCACATAGATGGAAAATAAATCAGCACGTTCCTGAATCCTTTTCATTACAGTCACTGTTGAAAAGAGACTTTTTCTTACTTTGCCTAAAGTACATGAGATATGAGATTCAAGTCTATGTGTTTTAGCAAGTTATTACAGGTTATTTTACTGACCTTTCTACCCCCTCCTTCCCCAAAAGCAGGGAGGGAGAAATTGCACATTTCCAGCATAACACAGTGAGGTTAAAAAATAAAAATCAAAAAACAGCAGAACAGTTTTCAGTGACATAGGCAGGACCAGAAGTGCTGTGTTTCTCAGCACCAACATTTTGAGGAGGAAACACCTGGTTTCTCAAGTTAGGCTCACCATGATATAGACACCCTGCACCTGTGCTTTATTTTGTAATGTGCTTCATCCAAATCACAGCGGTATTTTCCACTGCTGAGACAGTCAAAGTGGAATTACCTTTCCTGTGCACTGATTCCCATATGTGGGAGCAGTTGGCTTTGCCTTGCGGGCAGGCACTACAGTATGAGACCGGGGAGAGCTGGGGAAGCATTCCCTGTGCTGGGACCCATAGGGTTCTCTGTCTTTACAGAGCTCTTCACTGTGATGCTGCAGCAAGCATGGTTGGGCAGGGCTAGAGCAGAGCAGTGAGGGAGAAGCTTCCCCAGATGTGCGGTGCAGCCGGGTGGCCCCGTGGGCATTAATCCAGCTGTGCCATGTGTTGGCCACCCAGTGCAAGCCTGCTTTGAGGCATCTCTGCTC